AGATAACCATGCAATTGGGATTGATCTGGGGACAACTTATTCGTGTGTGGCAACGTGGCAGGCTGATCATGTAGAAATCCTGGTGAACCATCACGGTAACAGGACAACTCGTTCTTATGTTACATTCACTGACAGTAAGAGGTTGGTAGGTGATGAAGCATTTAACCAAGCCGGGAGATTCCCCACCAACTCAATCTTTGGTAAGAATAAAATGATCAACAGTAAAATTGTTCATTGTTTCCTTGTAATTTTCGTTAGAACTGGAGAAATATATACTGTGTTTTTTTAGAGCAATTCTGCAAAAGTGGGGTATTATGCATAAATCCATAAATTGAATTGTTTCCTGACATAATCTAAACTGGAAATGATTTACAGATGCGAAGCGGTTAATTGGTAGGAGATTCAGTGACCAAACTGTTCAAAGTGATATCAAGCGCTGGCCATTCAAGGTCATTGAAGGTAAGGCTGACAAGCCCATGATTGTGGTTAACCACAAGGGCCAAGAGAAACAGTTTGCTGCTGAAGATATCTCATCAATGGTTCTGGCAAAAATGCGGGAGATTGCGGAGGCCTTCCATTGCTCAAAGATTAGTGAGAAAAATGCAGTTATCACTGTCCCCTCTTACTTCAACGACTCTCAGCGCCAGGCTACATTAAAAGCTGGGAAATTAGCCGGCTTAAATGTGCTGCGTATTATCAACGAACCAACTGCTGCAGCCATAGCTTATGGTATCGACAAGAAAGCCGGTTGGTTTAATAAGAGAAAGGTGATGATATTTGATTGGGGTGGTGGTACATTGGATGTGTCGCTACTAACCATAGGCCATGGTGTCTTTGACGTGAAGGCGACTGCCGGAGACACTCACCTTGGAGGTGAAGACTTGGATAACAGAATGGTAGATTACTGCGTCGACGAATTCAAGACAAAAAATAAGGTGGACATTTGTGGAGACCCCAAAGCTCTTCGGAAGGCCAAAACCGCGTGTGAGAAAGCAAAGAAGGCACTTTCATTTTGCTTTGACATTGATATTGAAATCGACTCTTGGTATAAGGGTGAAGATTTTTATACAACTTTCACCCGGGACAAATTCGAAGAAATGAACATGGATATCTTCAACAAGTGCATGGTGCTTGTGAAAAGGTGTTTGGAGGATGCCAAAATGGACATAAGCGACGTCGATGACGTTGTTCTTGTTGGTGGTTCTTCTAGAATCCCCAAGGTGCAAGAGCTATTGCAGAAGTTTTTCATGGGCAAGGAGTTGTGCAAGAGCATTAATCCCGATGAGGCCGTGGCTTATGGAGCCGCTGTTCAAGCTGCAGTCTTGAGTGGGAACGTGACGGGGAAGCTTCAAGACTTCACACTCTTGGATGTCATCCCAATGTCACTTGGGACGGAAAGTGGTCAAGAAAACCGTATGGCCGTGATGATCCCAAGAAACACCAAAATTCCCACAAAGAAGCACCAAATTTTCGTTACAACTTGTGACAACCAAAGGGCCGTCCTCTGTGGAGTTTTCGAGGGAGAGAATGAGTTCACCAGAGATAATAATTACTTGGGTGGATTTACCATGGATGGCATTCCTCCAGCCCCTAAGGGAGTTGGTAAAGTAGATGTTTGCTTTTCTATCGATGCAAATGGAATTCTGAATGTTTCCGCTGAGGTCATATCCACCGGCCAAAAGAGAGCCATTACAATCAACAGTGACAGATGAACTTGCGGAATTAACAGATAAATTTTTAACTAATTAATGCGCAGGTTGTGTTGTTTTGGATGAGTGATGCTGTAGGCTGGTCCGTCTACCGTTGCGTGGATTTTATTCTTGTTTTCAATAAGAGAAGAGAAGTGCTTGCTTAATTACTGTAACTATGTAAGTAATAAATTATATATGTTTTATTTGATTGGAGTTCAACTTTAAGTTGTTTGTTTGGAAACATCATTTTGTAAAATCTTGTCCTAAAAAACTAAAAATACCAATTAATTACACCAACTTTTTGACACAAGCAAGAACCAGTTGAGTGGAGAATAGTTTTGATTTGTAGACCAATTGTCTCAAGTTTGAATGAAAGATTGTCTTGGCGTTCAAAATGTAATAAATTGGTGCCTCTATTATTACTGAATAACATGTAAACTATACTATAGTATCCAGTATCTCAAACTAGGAAGCATCACAACCGAACAATAAGCTAATTAAATGAGACGCCAACTTGCCCTCTATTCCAAATCTATGAGTACATCTCTCCTACTTCAACTAATACCTACACAAGGCAAAGGTAAACGAAGAAACAAGCCCATAAAAGTTAAAGGAAATGAAATCATTAAACCTTATCAATGGACCTAGGTAAATATTATTAGCTCTCAAAATCCAGCCCATAATAAATTACATAATTTTTTTTATTTTTAAATTTGAGTTTTGTAGAAAATGTTTTGTTTTTTCCTGTTGTGCCAAAAAAGCATTCAAGTTAGTGATGGGACCGAGTCAGCAACTATGACATTGATATACTTGTAATTTCCTTGATAATGAATTTGGATATATTTGTTTGAGTATTTATCGCATGGTTCTTTAAAAAAAAATACAAAGAATACTTTAAGCAAATCAAACCTTCTTAAAGAAAAATAAATAAAACAGCCCATAACATTTCATCTGTAAAAAGAAAAAAATTGTAAGATTCATGTGTCCGTTGATTATTCCCATGGGTTAGAAAATGGCCACATATATAGCATACTTCTGTTCAAATCCGTTATGACTCAAGTGCAAGGTGTCTCGATTTCATGGTTGTACAATGAAATTTGGGTAAAAAGTAAAACAGAAAGTCAGAAAGATAGGATGATGGCGCAGATACAAGAAACTATTAAATTATTTTTTACTCATTCAAGTAAAACTTTTAGGGTGCCGGGAGCATTTTTACACGGATAATACTAGACTTATCAAATTCTTATATCACATTGTGTATCACCTCTTTAATAGAGATGGAGCCTACTGAATAATGCTACTCTTACCATATTTGTGTACTACATTCATATACCACTTTATGTGACAGATGAGGTGGACAACCACATCAATTAAATTGGCTTTGGCTTGAAGTAGAAGTTTCATCGCTTGGGGTGTGTCTTTTCTTTTCTTTCCCTTTCTGGTTAATATTGTGTCAAATATAATTTCCCTGAATAATGTTTTTGGTAAGATGCTCTGGATTAAGTAATACAAAAAATTGGGTTTCTTTTTCTTTTGAGAGAATTATTTGACTATAGCCGTTGTTCTTTTGTTTTTCCTCTCTTAGTTGTTGCTGCAAAGAATGTGAAAGAGGGAGAGATACGGATGGATTCCGAGTCTTTATATTTAGTATCGGTGCATTTATCCACATTTAAGACTAAAGGAGATTGTGGGGAAGAGCGAGAGATTGCGGGGAAGGGAGAGAGGCCGAAGGATAGAGGAAGAGATGGGCACACGGTGCAAAAGGAGAGTTTTAATCTAATTCAATTATGATGAGTTGAATAATTAATTTTCATTAGACCAATTAAATGGTTAAGATTGTCTTAAATGTGTGTAAATGCACCGATGCTAAATATAGAGACTAGGGATTCGGAGAGATACGGACTGAGGAAGAGAGTTTAGGCAGTGGCGTATGGTGCCGCTATTCAAGCCGCAGCCTTGAGTGGGAATGGAAAGGGGAAGTTTATTCAAGACTTCACTCTCAAGGATGTCACTCCTCTGCCGCTTGTCATGGAGGGTACAGATGTTAATGGTTTGAAAAAATTCATGAATTTGATTCCAAGAAACTCTATAATTCCCGTGAGGAAGGACATAGAACTTTGTACTGTTAAGGACAACCAAGTTTTGATCGACTTCCGCATATATGAAGGTGAGAGTAGCATACCAGCAAATCTCAACTTTTTGGCTGAATGCAGCCTCCATGACATTCCTCCAGCTCTCAAACATGTTCATATATTCCATGTTTTCTTCGAAATTGATGCCGACGGTATCTTGAGTGTCTCTGCTGTCAATAAGTCCACTGGCCAGAAGAATGAGATGATAATCATTAAGCTGTAAATGTTTAACGCATTTGCAGACCAATCATCTATTCTAACACTACTCAAGCTTAAGTGTTGGAGATTAGTAAAACCAGAAAAGGAGGGCACTTTAAGAACTGTATACACTTTCACGAATAGAGACCTCAAAGATCCACAAAGATGGCAATTCCATCATAGGCATATCTGTTTTAGTTATCACTCGGAAAATCTAATCACACAAGCTTGAACATAAATTCAAACGTATGCGAAATCATGCTTGTACATAAATAAATGATTGATGACCCACTGACCACAATTTGCATGATATATTCTTGTCGGAAATTGTATGTTCTAGTAAAATAAAACTTTTAATGTCTGTTTGTAATAGAAATAGAACACTGTTTTTATGTAAATATTTTCTTATTTTAATATTTTAATTTATTTAAGATATTGGAGTGAACTAAATAAATAATTTCATGACATTGAGGAATTTTTAGCTGCCATGCGAAGCTGGACGAAGAATTCCAACAAGAACCAATGGCAGCTCAGCTTGCATATACAGTTCCTCCTAGCCTCATTGGAATAAAAGCCATTGAGCCCCAAATGGTCTCCATTGCCCAGTGGCATATACATTAATGATAAATGGGGTCGAGCGATCCCATGGAACTGGGAAAAAAGGCTTGAAAGCTCATCTGGCGACCCCAAGAGATGGCTGGTGGGCGACCTCTGCGTGCAGACCAAGTGCTCAATAAAATGCCGCAATGAAATTGTCGGCATTTTTCGACAATTCTTGGTAGGAAGAGCATGGCACGCACTGCTCTTTTTTTAAAATCGCCTGGCCAAAACGCGTCGTGGTGCTTTCATCGTTTGCCCCAATGATGGCCTTTCTACAATTACCGAGGCCTACATTTCCCACCCCAAAATTCAAATTCCTTATCTCTTCCCCCAATTACCTTGGCTGCCTCTGCTTCGAGTACGATCACAGTTCCCTTCTTCTCTCCAAGATTCTTCCAAAGAACCTCAAGATTTTTGGTTCTATTCTCAAAATTTGTCAACCAATTTATTGTTTGAGTTCATTGAGATTTGGGATTTTGTTGTAGGTGGTGAATCCACATAAGGCAATTACCATGGATCCAGCACTGAACCCATACCTGCTGACAAATGTCGGCCTCTTGACCGACTCCTTTAGAGAACAGAGCATGATGTGAAAGACTACATGGAAGCCATGCGAGCATTGGAGAAAGACGCAAGAAGTTGCTATAATACACAAAACACAAAAACATCTCTAGGCCATTGACAAGTCTTGCTAACAGCATTATAAACTACATTATTACAATATTAGGGTTCTATCATAACAGATAAACACAGCGGTTGCATCCATTGACATCCAGAATAAGGTTTTGAAGTTATAACACAAAAAAATCTTCAACCTTCATTTTTCCCCCCTTTTCATTTCCTTTGTTTTTCCTGAAAGACAACTCTGGCAGTGGCAACAGAATTCATCTTACTTTCATTTACCACTCGAATATGAGTTGATTGCTGGGGTGAATAAACTAAAACCATTTCCTTCAAGTTCTTAGCATCCTCAAGCATATACCTTGCTAGCTCCAGTTCATTGTTCCCATTAGAAAGCTCTATTGTTGCCTCCTTAAGCTGATCAATAAAAGCCAAGTTTTGAGATTTCCAGAATTCCTTACTAAATCCACACGCCTGGAAAGGAAACAAGCAAATCAATAAATAAAAAATTATAGAGACCAAATGTTACTCTCAGAACTGCACTACCTACTTATGATGATTATCCCTTCTGCATAATAGGGTTATACATCGCTCGGGATACAATAATTTAAGCTCTAAAAATAACATTTCTCAGAGCACAACTATTTTTAGTTTTTTTGACCCAGATCAATACACTCGTCATTTGAGTGTTGTGGACTTGTGTGTGTGTGTGTGTGTGTGTGTGTGTGTGTGAGAGAGAGAGAGAGAGGTGTGTGTGTGTGTGTGAGAGAGAGAGAGAGAGAGAGAGAGAGAGAGGGTAACAGACTTGAACTCTTACTTCAGGTTTATGGATGAATAAGGAAGGGTCAGACTTTATGTACAAAGTTTTCAAATTGGGCATTCCTCTCAGAAGAGAGACCATTGCCGGGACTATGTCATCATCCAAGCTCTCAATATGCATACCCAGGTAAGAAATATCATCAAACAGTGTAGACACAGGACCCTCCCTCAACAGAGCCTGCAACATTATGTAGATGAAAGGCAAATTCTTAAATGAAACAAGTGTGAGCACCCAGAACACTATAATGAAAATAGATTCACACAACTGAGCTAATTGCAAACAATTTCAATAATCTACATAATGATCATTAGTAAAAAAGTTATTATTTTTTTATACTTCCGGTTATGTTCGCCTTCTGTTTTTTAACCAAAGAAAAGATGGGAGCAAACTGGGAAATCAAAAAAATAAAACAATCTTAAATAGTTTTAAAAAAATCATTTTAGTTCCATCTATTCTCCCTCCTCTCTGCCTCCCAATTGTCATCTCCCTCAATCCTTTCACTCCTTAAGACATAAATAAAATAAAATATAAAATATAAAAAGTATCAAATGACCCTTTTTTAATTTCCAATTTTGTGTTGTTTGTAGATTGACAAGTTCATGCATTGATTTCAAATAAAACTTGCAGCACCAATATGAAATATCATCCATGTAATACCATCACTCGGTTTTGAAACATCTTTTAAGTTTACAAAACATAAATTAGCCATCCCTACTATTGCCACGCTGTAGAATCATAGCAAAGATATGTTCCCTGCAATATCCTTCAAAAGATTCCAGAAAATACATAATCTAGCATAAGTTCATATTGCAGGGCATCATGTTTTTGCTACAAGAGAGTTTCTGTCTGAATTTTTACCTTGGTCATCTCTCCACTTAGAATAAGGACTTTAGCCCTGCATACACTGCAAAGAACCTCAAGTACATTGCTGAAGTCATTGTTATCTACCCCATGCTTCAGAAAAATCTCAGCCTTCTCTAAACACATTAGTTTCCCCAGATTTTGGTTATTCAACAAATTCCCAATCCATTTCAAATATTTAAGATTTGGAGCAAAAACTTTGAAGGATCTGCTGCTAGTTGAAGCAAATTTCCACTCTATATGCATGTCTTCAAGTTTCTCACAAGAGATATTAAGATGACAGAGGCCACAATAAGAGGGAAACACAAAACTAAAAGATTCCAACGACGAGCTTTCCATGGTGATATTTTCTACTTCAACATGTTCAAGATGCAATTCCTTAATGCATTTGCAAGAACACGAGATCCATTTGCAAAACCCCTCATCTATTGTAACATTTGTCAACTTTAAGTACTGGAGATTAGTGGAACTAACCAAGGAGGGCGCTGTAAGAATTTTATTGCAGTGCACTGATAGAGACCTCAATGATCCACAAAGAAAGATGCAAGATGGCAACTCTAGCATCGTCGTATCAGGTATCCTCAACTCAAGATCAAGCACTTCAACATTACACAATAAAGCTCAACAAAATGTATATACAAAACAAAAAAAGGAAAAAAAAAACTTAATATTACCTTTGTGGTCTCTTCATTTAGAACAAGAAGTTTAACACTGTGGATGCTGGAAACCACACTGAATAGTTTGCTGAAATCCTCACTCCTAGGGTGGAGAAAAATCTCAGCTTTTTCTAACCACATCAATTTCTCCAGATACTGGCGGCTCGCCAGAGTTCCAATCCATTTCAAGTGTTTATGATTCGGAGTGAAAATGCTTATCGAGTGACCGGTTGGGATAACTTTCCAGTCAATGTAGATGTCTTCAAGCTTTTCACCTGAGATGTTAAGATGAAAGTTGCCATTGGGGTTTTGAAAACTATAATAAGCATAGCACGAAACGAAACGCAGGGTTTCCAGAGATGAGCTGCTGATGGTGATCTGTTTTGCCCCGTGAGCAAGCTCAAGCCACAGCTCCTTGATGCATTTGCAGGAACACGAGATCCATTGGCCCAACCCCTCGTCTATGGTGACATTTTTCAACTTCAAGCATTGGAGGGTGGTGGAACTAGTTAAGGATGGGGTTTGAAAAAGCTTAAACTTCAAATCCACTGCTAGTAACCGCAAAGATCGACAAAGAAAGAGGCAAGATGGCAATACTAACGTCGTTGTCGCCTCACACATGTAGAGTTCCAGATCAAGCACTTCGACATTGCACCTTGCAGCAACATGGATCCAAGAGATGACTCGAAAATACTCGTTAGAGAAGCTTGAAGCTGGACCTAAAAAGATCCAAAAAATACAAGTGTTGGATCTTATTGTCCCCTCGTTGGATCATGAACCTGTCCAAATAATTCAACAACTTTAACCTCTCCCACATGTCGTTTGCGCAGGGCATTGCATCAAAGTTCAACGAGGGAAATGAGAGATAAAACTTTCTGCAACTTTTGGACACACAGCTCACTCGAGCGAGGTCTATTTGAGCGAGGAAGGAGAGAATGTGGTGAGCAACTCCTTCTGGAAGATTACTAAATCTGTCTATTAAACTCTCAGCACAAACTCCTTCAGCTTGAGACGTTGAAGTTGCCAATAACTTGTTCTTGTAGGGCTCCATGATATATGCTCGCTTCCTTTTGGCTTTTGTAATAGCAACTTACACCTACAAGGATTAACGGCATTAAGAAAAAAAGTTATGTAAACATATGACATCAACAATACCAAGCCAACAACCATTTAATCCCTACATAATTCTTTTTAAAGAAAGATATATCAAAACAGTAATGTTTAGCCAATCCGCATCCAGTCCAATATAGATTGGATTACATAGTTTACAATCTAATCCAATTATATCAAACATTAACAACCAATCCAATCCAATTTGACAGATGTTGGATTGGATGGTTTGAAAGATGAAACCATTTTTGTAAAATCTAATTTCAATCACTCATTGTAATAGATGCAAATGAAAAAAGTTAAATGCTAATAAAAAGTGTTTTGATTATAATTTACTTAACAAAGAAAACTTTAGATCATTTTGACAAAAACCGAAAGGGATTGCAAGTGGGATAAACTCTTATTGCAATTTGACCCAAAGTACAAGTCGGCCCAACCCTCATTGCGATTCAAAGATTCAAACTGTTCATTTCTTAGGTCATCATATGTAAGGATAATCACTACGAAAAATAAACCCAAAATCGGAAACTATTTAATCATCTAACCATGAACAAATAAATAAACACAATGATCTCAATAACATTGAAATGTTCATGATGATAGCCAAATGGTCAAACAAATTCCATTTTGCTAATATTACATAATTCTTCAATAGGTATCTAAAACATAGACTATTTGAATAATTGAATTGCACTGTGGAGTGACCCAAACCGTGCGATCCCTTTTGACTCTCATCAAAAGGATCCCTTGCAAGAATGAGACTTTTACTTAACATAATGCCACCAAATGACTAAAACTATTCAAATTTATTTAATTTCAAATACCTATAAGAGCAAAAGGCATGAAACTAACTAGATTGGACTAAACTGGATTCTCACAAGCAACCCGTCATTTGACCCGATCATGTCACCTTATAAATGTAGGAACCTAATCTGATTTGCCAAAGTTATCGAAACTTATCAAAATCAAACTAGATTGGATTTGATTGATCAGTTTGAGTAGATTCAATTGGATTTGGACAACCCTAAATGAAATTCCAAATCTTCCAATATTACCAAGAAAAAATTGCAAAACAAAATTTATGAAATCAAGTAAAAAATAAAAAATAAAGCAAAACTAATCTGCTAGTGATATATGGGCTTACCCAAAGGTTATTCAAACCTAAATGCCTCAGTTCGAACCGACGGTATACAAGAACACCATGAAAATTATGGTCAAAAAGTTTCGAAGGAGGAAAATAAAACCCTAAATGATGAGGATGGATGAGAAAATGAGTCAGGATTATGATAGGTAAGGGTTTGATTCCTTCTAATGTAACTAAACAAAAAGAAAGCTGATAAGGTAAAATGGTGAAAGAGGAATGTAATTATTTAGAAAAAATAAAGAGGGAAAGTGCTTTAATAGTTTTTCAATTAAATAATGTCTAATTATTTTCTATATCTTCTCAGAAAAGTCCAAGAATAGTGTAACCCAATGCATTCACCCGTTACATAAGTGGAGTTGGACCGCACTAGCGCTCAACATTTCAAATTGCAAACTGATCAAAGCATCCAATACCGGTTTGGTTTGGTGCAGTTTATTATTATTATTATTTCAATTTTTTATGTTAAATCAGACCAAATTGACTAGCTCGATATGATCCATGGTTCAAAAAATGTCAAATTGTAGTCCACCTAAACTGAACTGATTGGCATAAATATTAGATATGGGTAAATTTCACTTTATTACCCACAAGTTTCCCGAAATTTACATTTTACTCCCTAAAGTTTTTTTCATGTCAACTTTGTACCCAAAATTTGATTTTCTTACCACTTTCATAAATTCATTAGTCTGACTCAAACCTTAAACTTTCAGTAAACTTGGGAGTAATAAAGTGAAATTTACCCATTAGATATTTACAAAAGCTAGAGGCAAGGGGATTCAAAACTCAAACCTCCAACCTTTACTTCCAAGTCCACCCCATTGTGGTAACAACTTCACTTGTGATATAATTGTATAACTAGTAAGTAAACCGAAATTAAACCAAAACAAACTGTTCATTCGATGAACCGACGACGTTGATTGTTCGATGTGGTGGTTTAGTGTTGATATTGAGATTTCCTCCACCAAGGTCTTCGATTATGTGGGCGATTTAGGCTCAAACCCGAACCAAATCACACTGAATCAAGCCCTACCATGTGTGGCCCAGTTCCCATCTCACTTTTGTGTGGAAGGGTGGCCATACTGGAACTCCCTATGAAACAAATTCTTCTAAACAAACATTACACAATGGTCATAAGAACAAAAAATAAAAAGTAATATAAATTTCTTTTATTGATAATTTTGATTGAATCCAATGCAAAATTGCTAAAATCTAAAACTTTCCACTTAAATACAAGAGTGGTGATTTCCCCACTCTAATTTTATCCACTTACACTCCATTTTATAATTAAAAAAAGAGTGTAAGTGGATAAAATGAGAGTGGGGAAATCATTACCCAAATACAACTATACATTTACACACAAAATTTGACATGGCAGCTTTGTTAATTGTTTAACAATTGCTTCAACCTTAACTTTTTGTATTGGTTTCAATTTATTTGAGCTTTTAATTGTAGTGGTCTTGTTGGACACATGCTAATTCGGCCCATATCTGATCTCTTTAATCAAACCAAACTATTTGCTCATTGGTTCTGATCAAACCAAACTGATTGTCCACTCAAAAAGGCTTATTGGTTCTAATCTATCACATATTTTAAGCCGTTGGATTTAGCCCAGCATAATCCTACGGTTGTGAATAAATAGTTGCTCACAGCTCCTTAAATTCTGTCCCTCACGTTAGCACC